CTGAGCATAAATTTTCTTTTTTTACGTCCGTACGTACTAAATTGTACTACCGTACTGTACTAATTTACTATATACCCGATCTTAGCAGTTAGATATCAGTTTACGTACCGATACGACGTAATAGGTATTAAAAGCTTTTACGGTAATAAGATCAAACTACTTGTTTGGAAAATATACAATTTAAAAGTTTTGCGCCTTCGATATGATTAAATAGTTCGCTAAAGTTAGAATATTTCTGTACTAAACATTAACTCTGTAACAGCAGTAATAGCAATTGCATTACTGGTAGATTTTATAACTGATAATTTTTAATGATTTTAACCGATTTTATAGTTAAGTTCAATATCGACTTGGTTCTGACGTATAACAAACAAGACCGGTTTCAACCACTAATCGAAACTTGTGCACCAGCATACAAGTACACAGCCGGAAAAACAAGCCCCAAAAAATGATCACGGGATCCTTATTCGGTGTGATAATTGGTTAATCTACAAAATTATTCATTTGAATGATAGTCCATATTCTTTCTCAAGTACGTACGAGCAAGCCAAATCGATAATGACATCGAATAATAAAGAATTTGATAGTTGGAGTGATACTCCTCCTAAACAGGCTGAGGAAGAAAAAGGCTGGAGTGAACCGTCGAAAAATTCCTCAAAGAATGAGGACCGGAAAGGAAGTAAAGATCGCGAACCAGAAGATTTAGATAAATCTACTGAAAACGAAGGTTGGAGTTCAACAGTAGACAAACCTACTGAAAATGAAGGCTGGGGTCCAGTAGATAAATCTATTGATAAATCTATTGAAAATGAAGGTTGGGGCTCAGCAGTGGACAAACCTCCTGAAAATGAAGGTTGGGGTTCAGTAGATAAATCCGTCGAAAATGAAGGTTGGGGTTCAGCGAATAGTAATGGCTGGAACACTTCTACAACTGATGAATTCGCAAAGGATTATCAAAAACAAGACAATCAATCTCGTGGAAGACGTGGCGGCGGCCCCCGTGGAAGAGGGAGGGGAGGTCAACAATACTCACGTAATGACCGTGAAAATTCTAGAAATGATTTTAGAGGAGAATCAGATTTTCGAGGTCATAACCAACGGTCTACTTTCTCACGAAGTGGTAACAATAAATATAATGGTAATGAAAAATTATTTCAATCGCAAAACCACAAAATATTTGAGATGCATCAATTAGAATTGATATCTTTTATTTGAATCATTTTATATAGATAATAATCGCGAGAATGGTGGCAAGGATGAAACTGTTGGTGATAAAAATCCGAATGCGCAAAAATCTGGAAACACTAATGACAATACACACACACCTAAGTCAGAAAATACCCCTTACGTAAATAAAGATCGAGTTTTATCCGGTGGGCGTGTCAGAGAGGTTTGTAGCTGGTCATTTATTATTAGAAATACAGGAAGTTACTTTAGATTAAATGATATTATTGTTTTTATAGAAAGTTGACGAAGAAGAACTGGAAAAACGAATGCAACGAATTCGTCTTCAGAATGAAAAGATTATAGAAAAACGAAAGGTATTTTAATGTGTAAGCATAGAAATTATATGTATACATATATATATTATTTTGTTTTTAAAATACATGAAGATGGTCGAAGAAGATGAAGAAAGGTTTCGTAAGGCAGAAGAAGAAAGAAGAAAGAAAGAATTGGAGGACCAAGAAATGCAAAGAAAATTACGTGAAGAAGAGGAGGAGGAGAGAAGGAGACGAGACTTTCAAAAAAAACAGTTACAAGAACAACTCGAGTAATCTAAATTTTTTTTATCTATATATATTCAATTCATTGGTAATAATCAACCCTTTTCTCTAAGTAATGAACGCGAAGAAAATGCCAAACGTAAAATTCAGAATCGTGATACACGAGAATGGGATAAGGAAAAGGAAGAAACTGGATGGAGCTCTCCACGACAACAAAGAAAAAGCTCGGAAATTCGTTATTCTGCAAATAATCCTTACGTGAAGAATGGGCCTGAGGGTCGCGGCAATGATAATGACTATGGAAATCATAGCAGAAGAGATTCTCGAGGAAATAATGATTATGGTGGATATAATTCACGTAATAACGAATCCGGAGGATTTGGATCAAGAAATTATCGCGGTGATAGTAACGAGTATCGACGATCTGGACCAAGAAACAATCGTGGTGAAAACAATGAGTACGGTGGTTCAAGAGGTGGTTATCGAGGAGGCGCTGGTGAAAACAATGAGTACGGTGGTTCAAGAGGTGGTTATCGAGGAGGCGCTGGTGACCGTGGGAGAGGGCGTGGATCAGGTGGGAATTTACGCAGACCTACAAGACGGTATAGCGATCAACATCGATCCAATAAATCTACAGAAGAAGGAGGCTTCGGTAGCGGCAATAGTTGGGCAGAACAACAGGAACAGGAAGAAATGTCAGGAAAAGCTAACCTTCCTTGGGAATCAGATGCAAACGAAGATGCAGGATGGGATAATTCTAGTGGTATTTTATTCAAATTAGTTTTGTGCCCTTAATATTATTATATTATTATTAATTATTACCTTATTGTTAATAAGGCCGGAATAATTCCTCTGCCAAAAAAGAAGAATGGGAAAAAGGTTTGATTGATCCGATTTTGTTATATATTTTCTAATAATGTTTTAATACATTTTTTATTGTTTATTATTATTTTTAGGAGTGATTTCCAATCAAGATGATGGGTGGGGTAAAAAGGGTAATCCGGAGGAACATTGTGGTTGGGATTAAATTCTTATGGTAAATACAAATTTTGTTTCTTATAGCTCACTTCTTTTTAGTTCACACATAAAATGTTATAATTAATCATTCACGATAGATACACGACTCGTCTAAATGCACAATCGAGCCGTCTATGACCAACATAACAATAATATACCTAGACTCACTTGGTAGGTGTTCTAAAACTACAATTATCTTAATATTGTAAAGAAAATGTACTGATGCTGCTACCAACATATGACCTTATTAGGTTTAAAAGCGCTACTTTCAGGTATAATGATGGTTGGTGATTTGTGCTAATCTGCGTACAATTACCCGAACTGAATCCAATAAATCGTAAATCGGTAAACTTTTATATCATATCTTAATTTTTATATAATTTATTATCTTATATTTGAATTTTACAATTTTTACAGCGTATTTCCTTATTGCATTAATGCAAAAGAATCCACCAACTTTCAATAATTTCCGTGATCCCCTTTAACATCATTGAAATGCGGAATTTAAAAGAGGATTATCTCGTAAACTAATGTATACATATACATACAACATTACATATTTTTAAATGTTTTTCATGTTTATATATAAATATCGAATAAAATATGAATCAATTAAAATTTTGATTTTTTTAACATATTTCATTTTTAATAGCATATTGTGATTTTATTGTCCAAAGCGTAGCGAGGAGAAAATGTCTTGGGTTCCGCTCACGTGAAACACATCCAATCTAAATATAAATAAAAGCTTATCTGTTTCCGTTAATATTACGTATTAGCTTCGGACACTAACAGCACCTGTTTTACTAGTCTAGTCATATTGTTCACAAAGCACCGATTAGATTAGAGGTTAGAACCGCAAAAATACGGATTGTCGATTTACTTACCGTTCTTGTTAGGGTTCTAAAAGTTACTACAGTACTATCGAGTAAAACCTCAGTGTAAAATTGGCCCAATCTGATTGTAAGATCAGCATGTAACATAAATTCAAAAAAAAATTTCAGAAATTAGAACTTGTGTGGCAATAAAGTTTTCTAGCACAAATGTTCTTGAATTATTTTTAGGTGTTTAGGTAATTTTGAGGTCAATGTTACGGATTAATCACGGGTCATGGCTTTAGTATTCCCGCTATGACTAAGCATTTTTATGAGAGATCGGAAGTTTTTCTACTCCATTAGGAATAGTATCACTCAGAAACGGCATTTTTGCGGGAGTAAAGCAGCGATTATTGTCATTTCTTTATTACTAATGCAAATAAATGTGTTCCCATCCCGAGACAATGCATCGTCCAGAATCATTTTTTATCAACTTCCAATTATTTGCCTGTGAATAGTATAAAAACAAGTAAAAAAAGATTCTTAAAATTCACAAAGTAAATAGATTTTTAAATTATTTTTTGTAAAGACAGATAATTGCAACAAAAGCCAAATTTTTATTATCAAAATTCAAAATTAAAAAAATTTTTTATAAACATTTTATTTTTTTGGATTTTATCTACCGTAAAATCAAACTTAATCAATATTATATACCGATACTGTATTTACAATATATATATACTATATATACCCTATATATATATATATTAAATAAGATTTTAAATTATTTTAGTTAGGCCATACAAACTTATAGTTTCGGTTTTCATATCACCAACTGACCTCCCATGACCCGCCAACCCGGGTTTTAAT